GCATTCTACTTTTCATAAGAAGGAACCCAAACCTACTTTGGTTCCTAAATATGACATTTGATGATTTTGTGGGTAAGCTCTCATAAAAGGCCTCGTGAGAGTATGTGGTACCTTGATAGTGGATGCTCTCGACATATGACTGGCGATGCCAATCAATTCATTTTGCTGGAGATCAGGATAGGAGGCCAGGTTATTCTTGGAGTCAACACCACCAGGAAGGTGGTAGGTGCAGGTATAATTGATAATTCCAAGAACCTTATGATTGAAAATATTTTGCTTGTAGATGGATTAAAACACAACTTGTTCAGCATCAGTTAGCTTTGCGACAAGGGCTTCATCATACAACTCTTTGCAAATTTATGTATTATAAGTTTAAATAACAACACTATTTTGCAGGAAAAGAGGATCAACAATTTGTACATGCTTGATTTAAATAACATTGAATAAGTTGCATCTTTTTTCTTAAAAACTGTGTTTGATGATTCATGGTTGTGGCACAGAAGATTATATCATGCTAGTATGAAAACCCTTAGGAAAGTGATCTAAAAAGACCTAATTAAAGGTGTCCCCAAACTGAAATTTTCTAAAGACCACCATTGTGATGCTTGTCAATTAGGAAAGCAAGTCCACTCCTCTTTCACCCAATTAAGGACATTAGCACCTCTAGACTTTTAGAAGTCCTTCACATGGATTTGTTTGGACCCATTAGCTCTGCCAGCTTGGGAGGGAAAGTCTATGGTTTTGTAATTGTTGATGACTACTCGAGGTTCACTCGGACTAGATTTTTTTCACACAAAAATGAATCTTTTGAGGAGTTTAGAACCTTTTTTACTTGGATTAAAAAAAAGCTAGGTTGTGATATCTTGACCATTCAAAGTGACCATGGGGGAGAGTTTGAAAATGAAAGATTTGGAGATTTTTGTGAGGACAAGGGGATTAGCCATAACTTCTCAGCTCCTAGGACCCCATAGCAGAACAGGGTAGCTGAAAGGAAGAACCAGACCTTAGCAGAAGCCGCTAAAGCCATGCTTGCTAAGTATTCACTTCCAAAATACTTTTGGGCTGAAGCGGTTAACACATCTTGTTATGTGTTGAATAGGGTGAATGTTAAAGACAAGCTAGATAAGATACCCTATGAGATCCTTAAGGGTAGGACACCCAATCTTTCCCACCTTCATGTCTTTGGTTGTAAAGTTTTCATTTATAATAATGGGAAGTCTCACTTAGAAAAATTTGATCCAAAATCTGATGAAGGAGTGTTCTTGGGATATTCTAGTGTTGGGAAGTCTTTTAGGGTGTTTAATAAGAGAACTTTGATGGTGGAAGAAACTACACATGTAGTATTTGATAAGTCTGATCCTAGAAAGCCTGGAGTTGAGGATAATGATGATGTTGTAGAGATTACCACTGGAGTAGAAAATTTGGAGAAGGGAGTAAAACACCAAAACACTGAAGGAGTAGGAGATGTTACCTAAGGGGTAGAAAATATAGATCTGGAGGAAAGGGTTGGACCTTCACACACCTTGCCTAGAGATTGGAGATACTCTATAAGTCACCCCAAAGATTTGATCTTAGGAGACCCTTTTATTGGAGTTAGGACTATACATGACTTACGAAGGAGGTGAACCACTCTGCCTTTATCTCAATGATTGAACCCACCAACATAAACCATACCCTTTCTAACAAGTTTTGGATTTTAGCCATGCAGGAGGAGTTGAACCAATTTGTTAGGAATGATGTTTGGGAGCTTGTAGAAAGACCTAAGGAACAAAGTGTAGTTGGAACCAAGTGGGTCTTTAAGAACAAGGTGAATGAATCTAGAGTGGTGGTTAGGAATAAAGCAAGATTAGTGGCTAAGGGGTATAACCAAATAGAAGGGTTAGATTTTGAGGAGACTTTTGCCCCTGTAGCTAGATTGGAATCCATTAGAGTGCTATTAGACTTTATATGTTATAAAGGATTTAAGCTTTTTCAAATGGATGTTAAGATTGCCTTTTTAAATGGGGAAATAAAAAAAGATGTATTTGTAGAACAACCCCCAGGTTTTAAGAGTTTCCAATTTCCAAGTCATGTTTTTAAATTAAAAAAGGTCTTATATGGTTTAAAGCAGGCACCCAGAGCTTGGTATGAGAGGCTTAGCACATTCTTACTGGAAAGGGGGTTTGTTAAGGGGAGCGTAGACACCACCCTTTTTCGTAGAAAAGTTGGAGATGATTTGCTCATCATTTAGATTTATGTGGATGACATACTCTTTGGATCTTCTGATCAGAAACTTTGTGATGAATTCTCTAAAACAATGAGTAGACAGTTTGAGATGAGTATGATGGGAGAGTTGTCCTACTTTTTAGGGTTTATCATAAAACAATTAGATGATGGAACCTTTCTAAATCAATCAAAATACATAAAGGATATTTTGAAGAAATATGAGATGGATAAAGCCAAGCCAATTAATACTCCCATGACTTCTAGTGTTTCGTTGGATAAGTACCCAAGTGGTAAGTCTATTGATTAGAAGAAGTATAGAGGCATGATTGGATCCTTACTTTACTTGACTGCTAGCCGACCTGATATAATGTTTAGTGTTTGCCTTTGTGCTAGATTTCAAGCTAGCCCTAAGGAATCCCACCTAACTATAGTTAAGAGAATTTCTAGATACCTTTTGGGGACCCAAAGCTTAGGAATTTGGTACCCTAGGCACAGTACTTCTTTTGAGATTATTGGATTTTCTGATTTTGATTTTGCAGGATATAAGGTGGATAAAAAAGCACTTCTAGAACTTGCCAATTCATTGGACAATCTTTGGTCTCATGTTCTAGTAGAAAGAAAAACTCTGTTGCACTTTCCACTGCTGAAGCTGAGTACATTGCTTTAGGAGGTTGTGTGGCCCAAGTCCTTTGGTTAAAATAGCAGGTATTGGATTTAGGATTACTTGTAGACACCATATCAATTTTTTTGTGACAATACTAGTGCCATCTGTATCTCTAAGAATCCTATCCAACATTCAAGGACTAAGCACATTGACATTAGACATCACTTTATTAGAGACCATGTGACAAAGGGGGACATTGAGATACACCATGTGACAACTGAGAATCAACTGGATGACATCTTTACTAAACCACTGGCCTTTTACACTTTCAGCTCTTTAAGGACCAGATTGGGTGTGATTGACATAAATGCATGGACTTGATTTTTATTTGCTTTTCTTTTTCCTTCTTTTTCTTTGCTTTATTTCTTCTTTCTTATTCTCTTCTTCATTTATTTCCTTATGTTTTTGTTTGCTGCTTTATTTTTTTTATGCCTTTTTAATCATCACTGAAATAATATCGTATGTCTTATTCTTATTTTTAAAAATTTGTAGTCAATGTTTTACATCTCTTAATCCATTAAAGGGTAAAAATATACCGTTGATTGTGTCTCTTTCTCTAACCTATTTTAGTTGCACAATTTTCTTTTCTAATCAATATTCTATCTCAAATTAACAATTGGAGTATGCAATTAAGATCTTTTCTAACCTTGCTACAGCAAATCTATCTTGTATGTATAATATCTTATATGTATAATGATCAAAAGTTTTTTTGTCACATCAAGAATTCCTCGTTACTCTTGTCATTGCATTTATTCATACGATTATTGATTTTGTTTTGTGGATTGTTCTTCTCTATATTAGAGAGTGAGTTCTTCTTCTCTAATATCTAGAAGATATACTCACAACTAAGATTATTTAAGAGTTTTTTTTGGAAGAGAATGTAGCTTGCAAAAAAAAAAAAAGTGGTCAATGATGCCAAAATCAAAAGATTCGTAATGACGCCAAATTGAAAACAAATATATACACAAAGTTTATAAAAAAGAAGCGCAAAGCACCATTCAAATTGACAAGATGCATAAAATGAACCCACGAAAAGCAAGATCTCCTCTCCTTTCAAAAAAAAAACTATTAAAACTTGGAAGAATTCATATATCACTTGATAAAATCAAAGGTTTGATTTCGACTTTTTGCGGTTGTGACATAATTACTTTGATACATTATTCTATAAGATATTTTTTCTGAAATCAAGTGGTGAAAGGATCCTTTTTCATATCCAATTGAAATTTTTGAGTTAGTTCATTTATTTCAAAAGACTATTTTACCCTGAAAGAAGTCCGAACTTAGGGATTAACATGATCGGATATTCTACCATTTTTTGGATTTTTGATATTAGTAAATCATTAACTTACAAATCTTTAAAATCAATCACATGGAAGACTACTTCATGTTCATGCCTTGGTTTTTAAAAAAAAATTTAGGGTTGCTTACTTTGTTTTTTAGTTTCCTCCTCCTTTTTGAGATGTCAAAAGGGGGAGTAGTATATTGGTGTTTGCACTGTTTTATTTTTCACTGGTTTATTCTGAATAATTTGAACAACTATTTTTAATCGTCGAAGTGTTTGCCATAATAAAAAAGGGGGAGATTGTTACAAATCTGTTGTTCATGGATTATGATTTTGATGCTAGCAAACACTCTTGTTTCTCTATGACTGAATTTTCTACTTACATTTCAGATCCACAAGATCGGAAAAAAATTAGAACCAGCTCAAGATTGGGTAGACTAGGTCTGAGTCAGTCTGTAATTTTCTTTTTCCCTTTCTTGAGTCAATTGTAACCATTATAGTGTTCTGATCCTAAGTAACCCTACACACACACACACTTGAGTGATTTTTCTATCTGATAAAGAATTTCTATTTTTACTCACATCCTCCCAGACGATATTTATATCATCCTGGATGATCAGGTTCAAAATAGAAATCCTTAATCAGGACATATTGTTAAGGTAGCCGTCATTAGTCGATCGGCCTGGACGATAGACTCAAAATAGAAAGAATCAGCCGCCATGATCTATTTAGGCATTCTTTATTTTTGGAAATAGGCCAGGACGATCGTGTATCGGCCTGGACGATTTGATACAATTTTTCCTAAATTGATCAGGTAATTAAGGAAAGTAATTAAGATGATTGATAGGATCACATTGTCCTGGACAATCGCAAGATCAGCCAGGATTATCCATTCAAAAACCTTAAGTTTCTCTAGGATAATCAATATCAGACAACTCATATTCCGGGTGATGGTCTGGATGATCAGGATTGGCCAGCTCAAATTTCGAGCGATGCTATAGACGATTTTCCTCTGATTTGAACTAATCGTCTGGGACGATCGTGAGATCAGCCCGGACGATCAAGCTATTTTGGAATCGTTTAGAACTCTTTTCAGCGTAGTTTTCTAGCCGATAGTCTGTGATTTGAACTAATCATACATGATGATGTATGATCGTCCTGGACGATAGGAACAACTTTCTTCTATTCGTCCCATATCATCCCAGCTGGTTAGGCTCAAGTTGCACTGACCGTACAGGACGATATTACTATCATCCTGGACGATAATGTCGACAACTTGCAATTAATGAGCTATTTTGAAGCTCTTCTATTTAAGGGCTATTGTTCAACATTTTGAACAATCTTTTACTGCTGTCTTGACTTGAGAAAGCCTAGAGGAGAGAGAGAGGGAGAGAGAGAGAGGATCTTGTAAGGGGGAGCTTGAGGGAGATTCACAAGGGTTACTCCAAGCATCATTCCACTTCTTCTTGCACTAGATTCTCTTATCCTTGGAAGGGTTTGGAGAGGTAAGCTTCTGCGATTGATCGAGGTTCTCTGTCTGCTTCAGGAGGAAGCAAAAGAAGTTGGGTTCTCTGCCTTGCCGGGGGTGGCAAAAAGGAGGTTTTTGTAAGGGCTTCTCCGCCTTGCTGTGGGAGCAAAAGGAGAGTTACTTTGGTAGTGCAATACTCGGAGGGCGCCTCCGGGGATTGGACGTAGGTCAAGTTGACCAAACCACTATAAGCCCTTGTTCTTTTTCTTGCTTTCGCACTTAATTTTTCCGACTTTTTTTTAATGTGGTGATTTTGGTTTGAGCTTTGCTAGTATTTGGTTTAAAGATTTTTTAAAATACCAATTCAACCCCCCCCCCCTCTTGGTTAGCCTTGGGCCAGTTCATAAGGGCCTAACATCCCTAACGAACTTTTATTGACTGCTTCAACAGATCCTGATCCAGCTTCCTTTTTAGAGTTTGAATCAGCATAATCTATTAAAGTATGGCCTATCTTGCCACACTCAAAGTAGATTTTTGAAACTCCTTCATACTCAATTCTTTGATAAAATTTTCCAGCCAAGCCTTCAACCCAAATACCAGATGGTAACTTCATATCAAAGGGAATACGCACGCATACCCTTACAAACTCCCGTCTACTCCATTGCAACATATTCCCTTCGAGGAGGTAAGGTTTGCCAACTAGAGAAGCAAATCTACATATATTCACCTCGTCCCAGCATTGAAGAGGTAAATTAGGCAGCCTTATCCATAAAGGAGCTGAAATTCCTTTAAGAGAAGTTGGACTGAATGAAGTCGACCATTTGTCCAAGCCCATAACTTGGCCTCTAACCAACCAAAGACCACCAATTAAAATGTTCTCCAAGGCATTTGCATCTTCAATTGAATAGAGCATCCAGCCTAGCCCCAATCCTGTAATGTGGAAGTTCACAAATCTACTCCACTGCATCCTTAATTCAGCACTCACCAATTGAAATGGAATGTAATTGCCAAAAACCTTCACTACTATAACTTTCTCTAGTCTTCTTGCATTCTCCATCTCCTTCTCATCATGTAACATAACAACCTTTCTATCTTCAGATAAGAATGACCCTAGTTTGAAGTTATCAACCTTAATGTTCTATTTTTCATTCTAGATAGATTGAATCACCACATTATTCCCTTTATCTGTAGGTTGAGTTGCCTTATTATTATTGGAAATGTTCTCCTCTGGTGCGCTTCTTGAGTCATCACCATCCTTTTGTTGCAACAATACCTCTTCCACCTTGTCTCCATTAAGGATATTCCCTTCCAACTGTGGAGACACAATTGAATCACACAGGATTGGTGAAGTCGGTAGAGAATCTGAATTAAAACATCTGTTTGAGTAGATCCTCATCCCGACTGAAGATGAAGCTTCCAGATTTAGATTTTTGATCACCTTCTTATCTCCCTTAATGATTTTAAAAGCTTTCGGACTGGCGAATCCATCCTTCATGATAACCTCCTTCCCTTTTCCCAGAACAGAAATGGGATTCTTCTTCTTTAATAATAATCCACCCTCATTGATGATCAAAGGTTTTTCTTTAAAACCTTTGATAATCCTGTTGAACATATCCATAGCTCTAGAACCTCCATTGAAGACATCTGAAGCTTGCCACACCGAAATCGAAAGGCCCTTCCTGTAATTAGCCCAAGCTTTTGTAGATGAAAATTGTTTACCTTCCATCCGCGCCACCTGAGGTCGCTGGAGTGTCGGCTGATCTCCGGCCAAACTAGTCGCGAAAAAGGAGGCCCGTCGAATTCAAAAACAAACTAACTAAATTTTTTTTGAAATCCCAGACTCTATCGCACTAGCTTTAAGAGAACTGGATCCATAGTTAGTTATTCATTAATATACTTTCATGATAAAAATGATTAGTGAATATTTCTTTTACTAGGGTGACATCTTAAATTAGGATAGTCAGACCTCAGATGTTTGGGCTTCTTGCTTTTAAAGTAGATAATGTTAGAAGAAACTTTATTAGCTATAATATATTTTATGTTGCTCCAGTCTTGATGGCATCTTTTTTTTACTTTAGAAAAATTTCAAATACTCAGGTGATTAATGCTATATCATCATCTCCATAAGCTATAGAGCTATTCTTATATAAAATTTTGGCCTTTAGCGCCATTGTCCTCTACTTCCTCCTATCAATTACATCAAGCAATCTTTAACTCACATTTTACTTATAAGTAATGAGTGAACCAAGTAGATTATCAATAGAATATATATTTAAGTTTTTTGATTAATAGATGGTAGTTACTTCTGTATCAAAACTATCAAGAATATAATAAAGTTTTTTATTAACCTTTGTTGAGTTTAATAATTCTACCCCCAGAGCGTGCAATGATGTCATAATTTTTGTGAACCTAGTATACATGTTAGAAATTAATTCTATAGATTTCATGTGAAAGAGTTCATATTCATGCAGATTGTTTGACTTTGTTGGTTCCTTTATAAGAGATGCACTATTTATCCTAAATATCTTTCCCAGTTATACAACTAGAGACTATCATGTTATCCTCATTTTTAAGTACACAAAAGAAGTATTTCAAGCATTTGACATTAAGTTGAGCTAAGTTTTGATCTTCTAAACTATATCTAGTGTTTTATCCCATTAACTATACATGATGGCATAGAAGAACCAAATCAAATAATGTGCCACATTCTAAAATCTATAGACTGTAAAATGGTAAATATTCTTACTTTCTAAAAATCAAATGGAATATTATCTAATAATGGTGGACAAGTTATTGAATAACTCTTTATAGTATTTATATTCCCAAAATGTGCCTTAGATCTTTTCTCAAGGATTTTTAAATCACTAATTCTCAAACCTTCTCTAATACAAATTAAAAGTTCAGATGAGGTTGTTAAACCTTATTAAACTATCTAGGGCACACAAAGAGGGGGGGTAAATTATGTTTTTAAAGTTTTTTTTTCAAAAATATTTCCTTAAAAAATAATTAACCAAATACACTAGTAGAAGCAAACAATAAACAACCAAATAAATTTGGTATTTTTTCCTTGGTACAAAATTAAACATAAAGACAATTTTATTCTTTTTTATTTTTAGCTTTTTCTATTTTTGTTTACTAAAAAAAATCAATCTTGAGCAATCAAAATACTTTTAAGCTAGATTTCCAAGAATATAATATGCAGGAAATTAACAATGTAAAAGATAAAAGTGTTAAATAAAAATGAATCAAGCACATCAGAAATTTTATAGTGGTTTAGCCAAACCTTGTCCTACGTCCAATCTCTAGAGTCATCTCTAAATTTTACATCAATCCTTTAGTGACCCTCCTTAAATCCCACAGTAATATGGAGAAGCTCTTACAAAATCACTTCCACCCTTCCATAGTGTGGCGAGGAAGCTAAAATCCTTTCACCCTCCTAGTGAGGTAGAGAACTTGAATCCCTTTTACCCTCCCAGTGTGGTAGAGAAGCCTGAATCCCTTCTACCAACCAAGTTTGACAGAGTAGATGGATCCTTTTATGCCACGAGCCTCTTTTCAGAGTTACCCTTAAGCAAAATAATCACTCTTAGAGGAAAAAAGTGAATGTTTATGTACCAACCATTAAACCTCTCTCACACACTCCCTTGACCTCATAAGGTTCTTCTCTATGAAAACCTCACCACTCTCTCTCTCTCTCAAGACCATTGCTCTCTCTTCTAACCCTAACTTAAAGAGAAGCCCTCATAAAAAATTGGCCAAAGACACTCTTAAATGAAATAAGAGGTGTTTAAATAAAATACCCTTATTTTTTAATACAGCTAACTGTGTTCATAGAGTGTGATTTGTGAATCATACAATATAATTAGTTTAAAAATCTTTGTTCATTCTATATGATGAACGAACAATAGTATGATCAATTCAAGAATCTTGAACTAATCATATAATATGAATAATTGATTGTAAAATGCAATAAGTATATTTTTATGCTTTTTTAAGATGATCTATGATAAAAAATCATATCTACCAATCATTCAATATGATTAATATTATATTGTATGAATAATTCAATTCAAACATGGTTAATCAAATATAATTCCTAGAATGAAAAAAAATTAACACTGCTAATTAACCCGTATGATTATGATCGTTTTGTATGATCATATTCATTAATTGAATTGACTGAATAATAACATGATTTAATTTAGACATGATTTCCAATATTGTACAGTACGAATTTGTTCAAACAATATGAACTTATTTGTACAATACTATTAGTTCAAAACTTAAATTTCAAATGACTTGTTTAAATTTGATTTAGGTTTAATGCTCAGATGTAAACTGACCATCTTGCATGATTGAGTTCATTGAAAATTATTAGTTTAACAATTTGAATCTCTTAATTATCCATTTTAATTATTTTTTGATGAATATATTTTATATCACTATTGAGAAAAAATAGTATGATCTTCAAAAAAATTAAAATTTTAAATTTCACTACTCCATGTATGTGTGCATGGTTGTCAAGCTAGATTACACCTTTTACAAACTTTTAACTAAAGAAAGATACAAATAAATAAACAAAAATATAGAGTTTTGCAAAAATCAAACCTATTATACCCAGTCTTGAGTCTTGATCCTTTGTTGATTTATGGTGTACGATGTTTTTGAAATGTTGACATATGCAAAGAAACTAAGTAACAATAATGCTAGAAGAAATAAAGTAAAATTCAATAATGTTTGTTATTATCAAAATCTTGTGCTTGGGATCTTAGATTTCAAAATACATAGTAGGAGAAATTTCCTTTACATCACCTCTATTAGGAGGAAGTCATTTCCATCCCTTATTTGCTACTATTGGAGAGGAAAATGTCCAAAAAATTATGAACTCCCCACTACTTATATTTGATCAAAAACCTACTGTCCCATCTTTATTTAAGTAGAAAAAGAAATTTAAATGTATGTTGAAAGGATTGGTCTGTAAATGTGCTTCCAACTTCAGATAGTCTAAGAAGGAATTTCTTATAACTATGAAAGGTGTTATTCCGAGAAAGCAAAAGTAGAGTTATTAAAAGAAGATGAGTATATAAGTATATAGTTAAAAGAAATTTGAAAGTGAGAGAACGTCATAGAAAGTTTGTAAAACCTATTAAAATATAAAGTTCATCATATCAAAAGGATTGTCAATTATCTCCACATGCAACTTCCATATTTAATAATAATCCCCATAAAATTCTCCCATCACTCATACATGCATTGAAAGATCGTTAGGGATGTTAGGCCCTCTTGAACTTAATCCCAAGCTAATTAAAGAGAGAGGTGAATTGGAAAACTTTAAAACCAAAACACAATCCAAATCACCACAATCAAAGCGCGGAAATTAAAACGCAGAAATAGTAAAAAGAAAGAACACACCGGATTTATAGTGGTTCGGTCAAACCTTGACCTACGTCCACTCCTTGGAGGCACCCCCCAAGTATTGCACTAAACTAGTGTCTCTCCTTTATCCCCCATGGCTAGGCGGAGAATCCCTTACAAAATCACTTCCACCTTCCCCGGTGCGGCGGAGTCGCCGGGTCCTTTGACACCAAAGAGACTTCTTCTTTGGTGAACTTACCTCGAGACAAGCCTTAAATCCGGATGGACTAAGGTGCGAGTTCGCCGGAGCAACCGTATGGAACCCCCTCCACACTCCCTTGAGTCCCCCCTCACAAGATCTTCTCCCTCTC